ATGTTGTTTAGAGTCTGCTGGGGATTCAGCTGGTGTCAACCTAATTAGATTCTTGGGTCAACAAAGTGAGAAAAGAGTCGGCTGGGACCAAAGGCCCACGTTCTAGTATTGGTTGTTCACAGTTTAGCTGTATGGCCTTGGGCCAGTCACAGAGCTTTAGCAGCCCTCAGACTTCTTATTAAGGAAATAAGAGGGGCACAGAGGGTCGTGGTATCTTAAAGCAACCTCTTAGACGTCTATGGTTCTCAGTGCCAACTCTGTCTGTCCTCATGATTAGCACTGTCTTCCAGGTCACCTCCCCCTCACGTGGCCAGAGTTTGCTTCTGTAAGCACTTTGCTCCTGGCCTTTGTAGCTTTGCCACCTCTCCCCTGTTGCACCCTGAGATATGCCGGAGTGCTGATAAAAACTGCCCGTTGCTACTTTAGTCTCCTACCAAGCAGCATGGGGACAAGTCTAACGTTTTGAAAGAGTATTTGGGGACCTACCAGGTTATAGGTTAGTATAGGAGGGGAGTGGGGGAAATCCTTGAGTGGAAAGAAGCCAATGCAGATGTTTAGGGGTTGTTGGTGTCAATATAAGAATGTTCAAACCTTTTGAGAATTATTATAAAAATCTATTTGAACCAGATAGAGGATATGCCAGGAAGCAAGATCTCAACAGACAGAGACAAATGCTCTGAAGAAATGACAGTTTGCAGCTTCTTTGATGCATTTGGAATTAAGGAGGGAAATAAGAAAGATTACTTGAAGGTGGGAGAAAGCAAGGGGGTTGGATTACAGGCTAGTGAAAATTATGTGTTCTCTTGAGAGTGGTCGCACTTTAGAAGGAGGGGTCTGAAAAGGGGCATTTCAAAGGTGTGTTAACCTGGATGCACAGAAGCAATGGGCAGGGCTTGCTTAAGGAAAAGATAAGCCTTTTACTAAAGAAGTTATATGCCTAGGGCGTGACTACTCACCCCGACCTACCCAGTTAGGAATTCATGATCAGATCACCCTGTGAAGTTACTTTCCTCAGAACCTCTTTTTCGAACATCTTTTTCATCCACATTGGGATATCCGAGCTCTCGATGCCCCCAAGGTACCTGGACCCTGTTGATTTGCTTAAACAGAAGTTACTAGATAAGTTCTTAAGACTGTGGCCCCAAATTTATCTTCTTCCCTGGCCAGGCTTTGCACTCAGGGGTGACCAGACACCCTGGTGCAATAAAGGCCATAGCACTGGTAGAAGGCTGCTCAGTGGGAGCTAAGTGATGTCTCAGACAGACAACTAACACAGAAATGGGAAAGGTTGAGGAAGGTAAATCTATAAGATTCATAATCTAAGAGCATTAAACCTAGAAAGAACTTACGAATCATCTAATCTAACTCTCCTGTTTTGTGGGTAAAGAAACAGAGATCCAGAGACATGACTTAACCAAATCCATAAAGCAAGTTAGTGGTAGAACTGAGATAGCACTCAAGTCTCCTGATTCGCAGCCACGGGAATCATAACTATCGTATGAAATGGCTCTTTCCCCAGTACCAAGTTGCCTCCTCACGTGGGTTCAGCTATCACACTTTCCAATCCTCTCTTTGACCCTGAACTCGATTGTCTTAGGTGTTAGCAGGGCCCCACTGCTCCCA